TTATTATTAATATTAGTAGTAGCATTATTATTATTATTAAAAATATTATTATTATTATTATTATTATTATTATTATTATTATTATTATTATTATTATTATTATTATTATTATTATTATTATTACTTGTGGTATATTGTTATGGTTTGTATCTAGGAGTGACCTCCAACGATGAAACTTTTCCGGTATCAAATAAAGCTACTACAAGTGAGAATTTAAGGATGAAAAAAAGAAGTAATCTGAGCTAATATATATATATATATATATATATATATATATATATATATATATATATATATATATATATATATATATATATATATATATATATATATATATATAGAACAAATAAGTCGAGCCTCGGTTACAAATAAAGACAAAATTTAATAAAATTTTAAACAATAAAATTTTCCACGAGTAAAAAATATGAAAATTACAGTTCGAAAGGTACACTTCTTTATTTACGTATTACTAATAAAGGAATTTCAAAAATACAATGACGCTATAAGACTAGCCGATTCTGTTTAAGATAAAATCCAAATCATCATTACGAGTCAGAGTAATCGAATAACTCTGCCTTGCATTAATGCATGACCTGTTGGCTGATTTCGTCCAACAGGTCCTTTCAGACTGTACTTCAGGTCCGTTGTTTTAGTACGTCTTCCGTTCCACTTTCTCTCGTCTCGTTCGAACAATTCTAGATGCTTTTCCTTTTGTTCCAAAGTGTCCTTTTCCTTCCCACACTGTTTGGATTGTAACGGCATTCAGAATATCTCACCTCGTTTATTTTCTTTTTTTTTTTTTTGATGTATGTCGATTTCTTCATACAATCCTCTCTCTCTCTCTCTCTCTCTCTCTCTCTCTCTCTCTCTCTCTCTCTCTCTCTCTCTCTCTCTCTCTTGGATAACAATTATTTTACGAGAGGCAGATTTACAATAATTCCCGCCTTTCTGGTAATAAACACTGCGTCATTTCAATCAACAAATGTCTACGACTGTGCTGTCTTCTACAATCAGTTTTACGCAGAACAAAACTTGAACTCCGCTCGGTAAGTTTTGGCCTCGCCGAACTAATCTGTTGTTGTTGTTGTTGTTGTTGTTGTTGGGCTTAACGCCATTTTTCAGCACACGATAGGCTATTCATGGCGGCCAGTATTAATGGTGGAGGAAGAAACCGGGAAATTACCGGAAAGAACCACCGACCCACGAGAAGCTACTGGCAAGCTTTCCCACATATCCACATTCGCCGAATCCTAGACTCGAACCCACGCAGACAGAGGTGAGATGGCAGTGATCCGTAACGGACAGCGCTTTAGACCACTCGGCCACTCGGGGCCCTCAAACTAATCTGTACTTTATGGCTTGTACAAAGTGGTCATTTTCCCATTAATCTAGTTAATGGTACATGTATGCAACTAAGTGTGTTCTACCATAATTAATTTTAACAAACAAAGATGGACCTAAAAATTTGGCCGTTTACATTATTATTATTATTATTATTATTATTATTATTATTATTATTATTATTATTATTATTAAAGTTTGAAGACAACGCAGAAAACGTTCAAAGTGAGCGAAGCCTCTATCAAGACAGATTTAAATGAATTCATTGTGCGTGAAAACAGGCCTGGCCCTAGGTGTGTGGTGCTCAAGGCAGCATGCGGGGTTAAGGCAGCAAGAGATGAGCGCGGGATCCCAAGCATACAAAATGCATTGCAGAACTTTAAACCACTACTGTATAATTCAACAATTGAAATAAAATAACCTCGATCTAGAAAATGGAACTTTAAGGATATGCAATTTGATCAAACAAGTGATATTGGATTTCTGGTCATACGGCACCAAATTTCAACTGCAACTTTCTCATAAGATCAGAGTTTGTTCGCTACGTCGGCTCATAGTTGTGTATACATATTGCAACAGCACGTAAACAAACTTTTTTTCTTTTGTTTTCGATCGGTCAATCTGTTTCAATTTTGTCGGCCTGAGATTTCGTTTTATGTGTCTTTCGTGTCTTAAGTATCTCCATGATCGACCAGAGAACCACTGTTGATAGGTAGGTACAGATAAGTAATTGATTCTTTATATACAGTATGGTAAGTTACATAGCTACAATAATTGGGGATGGGAGAATATCTTTTACTTTCATTTTCTGTATCCTTTTGACATTCAAAAAATTCAACAAGATAAATTAAAAACAAATACAAAATAGTGTCGATTACAATTTTTCGTTTTGCGGTCAGTATGTTTGATTCTGGCCTGGTAGTTTACCATATAACAACACAGAGTTTTTTTAATGCCGTTACGATCTGGGTAAAGTGTTTTGCATAGGGACACACCATGCTAACCAAGGATTCGAACCCGTGCAGACACGCTAAGTGATTGCGTCAAGATGAAAATACATGAATATTGTTTTTGAGGGACCAAACAAGTCGGCAACGGGTATGTGGGATGGCCTCCAGAAGCTTTTTTATTTTAAGCGCTTCACGGCATAATTTTAACGTTCTAATTGTAAAAAATTAAACTTAATCGAGGAAACTTTCGGCTCTTTTGTGTTTACTTAAGACGAGGGTGGTGGAGGTGGTGGGAAAGAAACACCGTTCTTACGTTTGCGCCAATGTTGTACTAATGTCGTCTCCAACGGCAGCCCAACGTGGCTAAATTACCTCGGCACAACTTTACTTTGCTCACTGGCTCTCTTTGGGGCAACGTGTTAGGTCATCGTAGGCCGAACAGTGTGCGCTGTTGAAATGATATAGACTCCAAGTTTCGATTTTTATGATGATTCGTAGGGTCAACGTTGGCCGGTCATATTTGCCCCAACAGAGAAGCAGCATGCAAAATAAAATTGTCTTTCAGCAAGTTCTGCTGATGAAGATAAATTGGTATCCGCTGCGCCAATGAGCAAAATGATGTTTGATGATCATGTGGTATGTCACGTGACAATGTATGGCTCAGTGTATGTAATATTCTAAACAAACTTTGATACCGGACTATTTAATCCTAAAAAAATCAATTAAGTAAAAAAAAAAAAAATCTTAAAATTATTAAATAAACAGTCAAGCTAAATCATCCCGACCCCATGCCATGCTTGAATATATATATATATATATATATATATATATATATATATATATATATATATATATATATATATATATATATATATATATATATATATCATAGAGACATTCATGCTATAAGCGACAACTGGTCAATTATAAATATTTCTTTCAAGATGTTGCTTTTAAGTTACACACTTCATTATCGATTCTTGGCAATATGTAACTAGCCAAAACAGTATCTACCGCCCCGCTATCGGATTGGATACAGCTCTAAGAAACTGATCGAATGATCGCCGTCTCCGTAGGTAACGACTAATGTCATGAATGTCATACATTGTTCTAAGAGGTGGAGATCTCGTGCCTGCTCATTATTCTATTTTCCCGCGTCCCATATTGGCATTGTGGTCGAAACGACAGATGTTGATGGTGACCATTTGTACGCAAACACGTTAACTAATTTCTGAATGAAATCTTAAATAAAAGCGATAGACAGTCATGCAAATGTTTATCGTATTTTCCCCAACCAGCATCTCTCTCTCTCTCTCTCTCTCTCTCTCTCTCTCTCTCTCTCTCTCTCTCTCTCTCTACCTGTTCTTGGAGATTCATCCAACCAAAACTCTTCTACCTTCTTTTGGCCATTCATCCAGTAAAATGTCTTCTACCGTCTTTTGGCTTTCATGGATATAATACTGTATATGCGGTGATTTCTGTCTAGGAACAAGTCTAAAACACTAAACTCCTATGAAGTGAAATCTAATCAAATTATAAACCCGGAAAGTTTGACTGAGTAAATAAAATTTATTTAGCATTTCCAAAATCAAGAAATCCTGAGGAAAAAAATGAATGTATTTAATGAATTATTTATGAAACCATTGGTAATGAGCACCTTTCCTTAAAGTAATTTTGATTTACAAAGGCTGCGTGGGAAAGAAACCTCGTGGTACGTGTTCATTAGAAATCCAGAAGTACTGGACAACGCCTTGATTTCCTCAGAGATTAAATTAAAGAACTCATTGACAAAAGATTCTCAAAGTTAAAGAAAAAGTTCGATTTTATTTAGCGTGTGAAAATAGTTCTGACTCTATGCGTAGCTTGACCTAAATACTGTAGCTGTGGTCATTTATCTGTTTCCACCTATACGTGATTTAACATATAATGCTATGTAAAAACACCCAGAGGATGAACGAGTCAAGAACAAAGCTATCTGTAGATATTTTCGGCAATGGGGTATCGTACGTTAAGAAATTCGAAATGAGTGCTTTCATTTAGCTTTGTGTAGGGTCCCTTCCGCCCCGCCCTCTCCTACCCGTAATCAATTAATAACTAGGAATGTAGAGAGTGCATCACGGTTATTTTCTAATTCTAATAAGGATATCGACTGAGTCCTGAAAGAAAATCTGTTCTATTACATATTCTGAACATGCGCCTTGTTAAAAGGACCATTGGGTCAGTATGGTCTTGACTCAATCGATTTCTGCGCAAAGATTTTGTTGTTGTAAAACTGAATACAGTATTGTAAATTGTGAAATATTTCGTTGTTTCCTAAACAATCAATTCAATTAATTAATTGTTCAACTATATATATATATATATATATATATATATATATATATATATATATATATATATATATATATATATATATATATATATATATATGTGTGTGTGTGTGTATGTGTATGTATGTGTTTGTGTGTGTGTCTGTGTGTGTGTACTTTTAACGTAGTTTTAATAATTTTAGTATCGGTACGATGCCTGTGGTGTGACAATTTACAGCGATGTCGACACTGGGGCATCATGCAGCAGACATGTAGCATTATGTCCCTTCCTGTTACATTACCCTGACGCCATACCGATCAGTCCTAATGCTAACCTTTTAATGCTGAGCGCCAAGCCATTGAAATTCTAGTAAAATTTTTTTTTTACAAGTCTTTACTATCACTCGACCGGGGTTCGAACCCGCGACCTCCAGCATCCGAGGAGGACTTTCTAACCACTAAGGCCACCAGAGCGATCATCTGTAAATGATACGCTTCGTTTGAAAAGGGCACATATAGTTCGAATTTGAAGAAGACAAAAACCCTAACCTGCAAAATTTTATTGTAAATAGAAGGATATGTAGTAGTTTGTGTATATAATCTATCCTGACTATTTTGTCTATGCATTTATTGTATTTGCACAAAAATTTAATAATAAAACGGCGTTGAATTCCGAGATCAAATGGAAAGAATATACCCATCAAGTTGTTATCTCCCTTTCATACAAGCAGGATGTGACGTCATTTGAAACGATTCCCGTACAACAGGCATATAAATACTCATTGTCAATTAGAAACGATGTTTCAATGCTCAGCTCTGAATTGTGTGAATAAAAGCAGTTCCCGACAAAAATATTTTGTTTTAAACATTTCTATAGGATCCTAAAGGGTTATTTGTATGGGCGATCAAAGTAAAGAGAGAAGGGAATCATGACCGAGACATTTCGAGCATGAAAGTTTTTTCAAAAGACCAGAGAGTCTTCAAACTATTGGGTCTGAGCCAAAACGTTAGCGTTTGAAGCCTGATGCAGTGCCGACTCTTTTTTAAAAATATTTTTCTACTCTGATAACAAGACAGAAGACAGGAAGCACGCCGGCGAGTCGTAGTCGACATAGGCCAGGGAGCATCACAGGAGTCTGCAGTTTTATCAATAAAGCACGACGAAATTTCTGACTACATGAAATTTCGTCGTGCTTTATTGACAAAACTACAGACTCCTGTGGGAGCATTAAGGACTCAATAATTCAGGAGCACTGTCAACGTTTCAATACCTGAACGTGTAATTTCAGCCAATAAAGTTTAAAACCTCAGTAGCTTCTGATATTTTATTTTGCCATTATACACATACATTCACACATATTTCTAGAACTGTCATAAGTTTTCAGATTCATCAGTCAGAAGCGAGAATATATGAATCATGTGAAGGTTTTAGATGAGAAAGTCTTGCGAATCGTGCTCACTACACATGATGGTAATATTTTTATATTTTTTTTTTACCTTGTATATTCTACACCCTACTTAAAAATCATCTATATGATATGTGTCGGTAGACTCTAAAAGGACAAAATAATTTACTGAATAGTATAGTTATTACACATAATTTCACAACAATTCGATCACTTTATACATGGCTACGTGGTATTTAGTTTTTAACAGATTGGTTTATGGAGCCTTGGAAGAGGTGGGGGTGTAACATGTGCTCTCTCTCTCTCTCTCTCTCTCTCTCTCTCTCACACACACACACACACACACACACACACACACACACACACACACACATTTTCTCTTCCGTGAGCCACTGAGATTGGCAACAAATATTCCATTTTTGGATGGACATTGGAACATATTTACTACACAAGCACCTGTGTGGAAAAAAGGCTAAAATTATTTTTAAAAAACTGTTGCCTGTTTGACAATTTGAATGTCCATTTCTTTGACGAGCATTCATCCAATTATGACATGTACAAGTCCATATCAATAGCTGTTGGATTAACCCAGGCTATAGAAAGTGAAAACCAATTTCCAGCCTACCCCTCCCCCCAAAGTAAACTGGCAAGAAAAACTCTGATCTGTAATATTAAATTGTTTTGACTAAAAAGAAAATGAAAAGAAAGAAGAAGAATTAATGAAACACAAAATATGAATTGTGAAAGAAATCGTAATCGGTAGAAAATTAGAGCCCTCTCCCTACCCGGTTTATTGATTAGATTTTGTACTGTTATTTAGTTTGGTATTTAAAATTAAAGGTAGTTTATAATCATCGTCATTGTCAGAACCTGACGATTCCTGTACATCTTTGTCACACGAATTTGTCTCGGGTTCATACATATAAGGTTGGATGTTCATGAAATATTCTACTTCTGGATTGTCATCCACATCATTGACAGTCGACATAATTTAAACATTCAAGTACAGCCATCTTATAGAATGATTGACTGTATTATCATAGGAGTCTGCAGTTTTATCAATAAAGCACGACGAAATTTCTGACTACATAAAATTACCTTAACGGTAATATAAAGTAATTATTTTATAATACCGTTAGGTGATTTCATGTTGTCAAAAATTTCGTCGTGCTTTATTGATAAAACTGCAGACTCCTGTGCTATTATCAACAATGCCAGCGTGTACAGTGTCTCAAATGACGTCACATCCGCTAATTGTTCAAGGGGGAGGGAAGTGCGTTAGTTTATTCAAGACGGATCGGGAGAGATGATCGGTTTTTCATAAATTTCTTCGTAACGATTAAAAAAAAAAAAAGGTACAAATTATCAGAAAATGAAACTTATATATATAGCAAATTATATACGGAGTTTGAGCGAATTTCAGTTTTGCATGTTTGTCCCCTTTAAGCACTACGTGTATAAACCAGGCACATGGTTAACAAGCAACATTTTTGAGTAATTTGAGCATCTGACCTCAATAAATATGTCATTTTCTGTTTAGATTTAGACAATGCATGCAATATTCTTTACTTGTGAGCAAATCTCCAGTTGAAAAAAAATCCAGAAGAAATATTAACGATATTTTTAGGGATTACAGTCAGATGTAATAACAGTTGACTGACTCAGTTAACTGATTTGATTGACTTGTTTCAGTTATATACATACACTAAATAGCTATAAATGCATCTTGGATTATCAAACAGATTTAATCAAGTTGAATTCTCTTTATGACATTTAATTTGCTACTACATTATTAAAGTTCCTTAGATATTTCTTCATTTTTCATGAATTCAGAGCATTAGGTCAGCTGCACCAAGAGTATTTTGTTTATGTCAGGCACTCATTTAGACACAACCGCAAGCTAGTATTGAGTAAGTTGCATTTTGAAACAATAGTAGGGCCGTCGGTGGCCGGTAAAGCGCTCGCCTTTACCGATCATCGCCATCTCTCGGCTGTCTGCGTGGGTTTGAGTCTCAGATTAAGTTAATGTGTACGTGAGAAAGCTTGCCAGTAGCTTAATGTGGGTCGGTTGCTCTTACCTGTGTTTTCCCTAAGTGATTAGAGCGTCCGAAACAACAATAAATATAGTATTATTTGAATGAAATTAAAAGAAATTTCAGATCGATATCGAACTGTCACACCCATGTTCTTTCTTATCCAATGCAATAGCTACGTGGATGAACTCAAAAAGCATTTTATTTACTGTTTGAACAATCATGCTGCTTTATAATAAATGAAGGTAACAGTCTTCACTGGCTAGCAAATCTTCAAGAAACAGCATTGAACAAAATAATAACGATTTTCAGAAGGACTAAAATAGGATGAAGTAATAGCCAATTGTCCCTATTAAGTGTAGTGATGTGTTTGTGTGTGTATGTGTGTGTGTGTGTGTGTGTGAGTGTGTGTGTGTGTGTGATTTTCTTTTAACGTATCTTTGACAATTTTCTGGTCATATTGCTACGATGCCTGCAGTGTTGCAGTTGATATTGATGTCTAGCACTGGGTCATAATGCCGCAGACATGTATAATCATGTCCCACCCAGTCACATTATCCTGATACCATGCCGACCAGTCCTAACACTAACCACTTAATGATGAGTGCCTAGCGATACAGCTGTTAGTACCATTTTTATGTCTTTGGTATGAGACGGCTTTTGTCCGAACCCACGACCTCCCGCATCTGAAGCAAACTCTCTAACCACATAGTCCACCGGAGAGGACCAAGGGTAGTGATATTTTTAACGATTCACTACCAATGTGTGGCCGAGTGGTCTAAAGCGCTCTCCGTTACGGATCACTGTCATCTCACCTGTCTGCGTGGGTTTGAGTCTAAGATTCGGCGAATGTGGATATGTGAGAAAGCTTGACGGTAGCTTCTCGTGGATCGGTGGTTCTTTCCGCGGATTTAGCGGTTTCTTCTTCCACCTTTAATACTGGCAGCCATGTATAGCCTATCGTGTGCTGAAAAATGGCTTTAATCCCCAGAACAACAACCAATGTGACACACAGGAGCGTCCGTGGAATTTTGTTTCGGGAGTAGGCTAACATATAGTGGTCAGCTATTAAATTTCACTGATGTAAGGGAACACATGTTTAAATAAGAAATCATGGGAGTCTTCTTCCCCTGAGTGCAGGCGCCCATTTCCCTGAGTGCAGGCGCCCATGGTGACACATGCACATGACTAGTTCTCCGTAAACCAAACTTCATCAATTTGTATTATTGTGTTTCAAATTTGATTACCACAGAAAATTCACTTTACAAACTTCGCATCGAATGTGTATTTGATTTTAAAATTTCGTTCTCTGACTCACATAATAGCTACATATGTTAATCACTTTTGAGAAATTAAACCGTCTACAGATATGACATGATTTTCGAAACTATGCGGTAATTGTGGTTAGCCTATTCGCCACAACAGTCATCTACATTAAGCGATTCTTTTGAACCTCCTAGGTATAGAGATTAATTGCAAGAAAAGGTATTCCTCACTCATCTGTTGCAATCTGTACAGTTTGTTCTCTATGTCAGATAGGAAGTTGATTATCATCGTTCGGTCATTTATTGAGTAAATGGGTTTCTCTTATGGAAACTCTTTCAAATTAAATTCTAGTAAATGTTGTTAAACTATATTGGACAACTATACACATAACGAGGTACTTAAGTATTGCGTAACAACTAGAAATGAATTCGAGTCTGTAGATTTGATTCATTTTACTGCCGTTATGGTTGACAGGTATCTACTTTGCGCATAGTACTTGCATAACAAAGAATCATATTGCTTCTCGGTGTTTGACGGACGCTAGAAAAATGCCATATACATTGCAATATCTTGCAATAGTTTGTATGTGTGATTTTGGATTTTTAATGTAGCTTTAACAATTTTTCCGTCATATCGTTACGATGTCTTCAGTGTGGCAGTTTATAGTGATGTCTAGCACTTCGGCATCAAGCCGTAGACATATGGAATCATGTCAAACCTGGTAACATTACCTTGACACCAGGCCGACCAGTCCTAATACTAACCTCTCA